CTATTTGAAAGGAATGAAAAATGATGCAATCAAATTGGAAATGGATTTTGTTCTGGAAACGACAACCTTGAATTGTTTCGTCACTCACCGTATTGTTCAGATGTGGCTCCCAGTGATTATTATCTGTTAACAAACTTGAAAAGATAACTCCAGGGAAAAAGATTTGCATCAATTAATGAAGTTGAATGAGAAAGTGTGGTATATTTTGGAGGACTTGATGAATCGTATTATTTGAAAGGTATCCAAATGTAGAAAGATCGTTAGACTCGGTATGTCGAGCTAAAAGGGGACTATATTGAAGCATAAAATATTATTTCCTAAAAGTAATGCTTAAATAGATTATTGAAATTAATTATATATATAAAATGATATATATTAAATCGAAATTATTCACTACGTTCGACTTATTCTCTACTGCTTTCAGTTTTTTCTCAAAAATTGAATTTACAGTTGTTAGAAAAGATGAAGCTATCTATTCTTATACACGTGTCTACTTGTTTCGATTTAGGCGCGATAATACCGATTTCAGGACTCAAGTTCTGGAACTTGACCCAAACAGATATAGTCCATTTGTAGATATATCTATAGTGGAAACACCTTTCCGTACATCATCCCAATTTTCACTTCGTCACATCGTCGTAATTACAGTCAATTTCTGCTATTCGAATGTATATGAATGTATAACTATGTTGTCATTAATTCTGTAACAGCAACATCTAACGCAAAATTCAAAAGATTTTTCTTTGCACATTTTCTTGGCATTACTTCTTATCTTAGTTGGCCATTACAGACGTGTGTCGTCCTTGGCCGCGTCGAGTAGCCTCCGCCAGTCAGCCCGATTAGTTGCTTTCTGACGTCAGTTGGTAGTACCGAGCGCCCCCAAATCGTTGGTCACCTGGTCCTTCCACCGAAGATGCGGACGTCCTCTACCGCGTTTTCCACCTGCGGGTACCGAGTCAAATACCTTTCTAGCTGGAGCACTTTCTTCCATTCGCACGACATGACCAAGCCAGCGTAGCCGCTGAATTTTTATGCGCTTAACTATGTTAATGTCGCGGTATAGCTCATACAGCTCATCGTTCCATCTAATTCGATACTCGTCGCCAACGCGTAAGGGATCATAGATCTTTCGAAGAATTTTTCTCTCGAATGCTCCTAACGCCTTCTCATTACTGTTGGTAATTGTCCAAGCTTCTGCACCATACAGCAGGACAGGCATGATAACGGATTTGTGAGCGTGATTTTTGTTTGTCGAGAGAGGGCTTTATTTCTCAATTGCTTACTTAGCCCGAAGTAACATTTGTTGGCAAGAGTAATTATTCGTTGAATCTCTAGGTTGACGTCATTTTTGGTGTTTAAGCTGGTTCCTAAATAAACAAAGTCTTTCACAACTTCGAACTTATAATTGTCAACAGTAACGTAGGTCCCAAGACGCTCAGGAGATTTGTTTGTTGACAGAAAGTACTTTGTTTTGTCCTCATTTACCACAAGACCCATTTGCTTTGCTTGTTTTTCTAAGTTGGAAAATGCCGCACTGACGACGCGAGTGTTCAGACTAATGATATCAATATCGTCGGCATACGCAAGCAGCATTACACTTTTGTAGAATATTGTGCCAGTACGGTTTAAATCTGCTGCTTGAATTATCGTTTCCAACATTAGGTTAAAGTAGTCACACGACAAGGAGTCACCCTGTCTGAAACCTCGTTTGGTATCAAACGGCTCGGAGAGGTATCAACGTCATTTTACATAGCCGTAAAAGTTTTGCTGGGATACCAAATTCAGACATAGCGGCATAGAGTGTACTTCTAGTAGTAGTGTCAAAAGCAGCTTTGAAGTCGACAAATAGGTGGTGTGTGTCGATTTGTTTTTCTTGAGTCTTCTCCAGGATTTGACGCACTGTCTGGTCTAGAGTGGATTTGCCAGGTCTGAAGCCACACTGATAAGGTCCAATCAGTTGGTTGACGATTGGCTTTAATCTTTCACATAGTACGTTTGACAGAACCTTATATGCGATATTTAAAAGACTGATCCCGCGGTAGTTGGCGCAGTTTGCAGGATCACCTTTTTTGTGGATTGGGCAAAGCACACTTAAATTCCAATTGTTGGGCATGCATTCATCCGACTAAATGTTGCGAATTAGCTGTAGCATGCATTTTGATAGCTCTTCGCCACCAGCTTTAAACAGCTCAGCCGGTAAACCATCGGCGCCTGCAGCTTTGTTGTTTTTGAGCCGCGTTATAGCTGTTTTAACTTCATTATGATCGGGAGGCGGGACGATTATTTCATCGTCAACGATTGAAAATTCGGGATCATCTTCGCTTTCAGTCACATTGCTACTACCGCCATTTAGTAGTTTCGAGAAGTGATCCCTCCAAATATTAAGCATGCTTTGGACATCTATCATCAGATTACCGTTTTCATCTTTGTAGGAATTAGCTCCGGGTTTATAACCATAATTTTTTGATAGAATTTTCGAGCCATATTCCTGTCGCCCAGCTTCTCAAGCTCTTCGTACTCACGTCTTTCTGTTTCCTTCTTTTTTCGCCTGAAAAGACGTTTCTCTTCCCTTCTCTTTTGCCGATATCGCTCTTTAACAGCGCGCGTCGCAACTGACCGCAGGGTGGCTTGATATGCTGCGTCTTTCTCTGCGGTAGCATTGCGACACTCTTGGTCGTACCAGCTGTTTCTTTGTATACGGTGATAGCCGATCACCTCTTCTGCAGCGGTACGCATAGAGTTGGAGATGTGGTTCCATTGCGCGCATATATCGGCTTCTTCAGATGAATTTTCCAGATATTGGGAGAGTCGAGTAGCGAAGTCATTAGCTGTCTGTTGTGATTGCAGCTTTTCGACGTCTAGCTTTCGCTGTGCTTGTTCACGTACCTTTTTCATCGCACATAAACGTGTGCGGATCTTGGCTGCAACAAGGTAATGATCCGAGTCGATGTTGGCTCCACGGATAGTACGTACATCCAAGACACTGGAAGCATGCCTTCTGTCTATCACAACGTGATCAATTTGAGATCTTGTGTTTTGATCAGGTGACAGCCATGTTGCCTTATGTATGTTGAGATGCTGGAATCTGGTACTACTAACCACCATGTTTCTAGCCGCGGCGAAATCAATCAGCCTTCTTCCATTATCAGAAGTTTTCGTGTGAAGGCTGAACTTTCCGACAGTAGCACCAAAGATACCTTCTGCGTTGAAGTCTCCAACAACGATTTTGATGTCATGATGGGGACAGCGTTCATATGCTTGTTCAAGCTGTTCATAGAAAATTTCCTTGGTGTCGTCATCTTTATCTTCCGTCGGGGCATGCGCACATATTAGAGTGATAAAGAAAAATTTTGCCTTAATCCGGATTTTTGCGAGCCTTTCGTTTATTGGTGTAAACGTTGAGACCAAATTTCTCAGCTTTTGGCCTACCGCAAATCCGACTCCAAACTCGTGCTTTGTTGCATGGCAGCTGTAGTAGATGTCACAATGATCTCGTTTAGAGCATCCTTGTCCCGTCCATCGCATTTCCTGGAGAGCGGTAATGTCAGCCTTATATTCCTTGAGGACATTAACCAGCTGTATAGATGCACCTTCTTTGTAAAGAGTTCGGACATTTCAGGTGCATATTTTTAAATCGTGTTCCTTAATATGTTTGCGTTTGTCGTCATCAGTAGATCGTTTCCTTATCCGAGGCTGCCTCTTCGTTTGCATTGAAAGAATTTTTTAAATGGTGGGTTCCAAGCCCGACGCATAACCTCATATATCCCTGAGGTGGATTTCGCTGCACACATTAGTTCACTACGCACGGATGATTGTAGCTATCCAGAGGAACCACGTGGAGGCTGTGTGTCAACTTGGAGAGAACACTGACAAGGATCGCGCTGGCATTTACCATGTTAAATCCAATCAGACACTTTACCTTGTATGTTCAATCCCATCCCATCCTTTTCTTGGCATTATATTGTTTAAAAAACGATTATCGAATCTGAATTATATACTGCAAGTAAATAAATGTGGAACTCAGCAACTGGTTCAATAGTAATAGGTTTAATGACATTATATTGTTTAAAAAACGATTATCGAATCTGAATTATATACTGCAAGTAAATAAATGTGGAACTCAGCAACTGGTTTAATAGGTACGTCCGTAACGGCGCCATAACTTTGTTACTCGGCGATTTCAATATTAAAGTAGGCTCCGATAATTCCAACGTGGAGCGCTATAACCTTCACGCCTGTTGAAACCTGTAAACAAAAATGGCGTTGGATTAGGTATATGCTTCACAGACCGAACGAAACCATCGTCAGTCAAGGACTTCGATGAAATCCTCAAGACAGAGGTCCACGTGTCGGCGCACCAGGAAGACCATTTAGAAGATAAATTCAATCAAAAATGGAAGCTGCAAATTACTTCTGGAATGAGCCTTGAATCACGTATCAGCCTTGAATCACGTAATAGAGTTCACTATAAGATGATGTTCGACGCTCTATGCTCCACTGGGAGATGAGGATAACAGAAGAAGAAGAAATAAACATAGCAACAAATATTTGGAAGACTTATATGTAAAAGTGCTTTAACAATTATTTATATAAATGCAACTATGCACGACTTTCTAAATAACATTATCAATCTTCTTCAAAAGCAATCGTAATTCGAACGTTTGTATAACATCCCACATGAGATATCGATCTATCCATTTTGATTTATGAAGGCGGCTTTAGAGTAATTATTTAGCTTTTCAGTATTTTTAGTTTATATAAAACCTATTTCAGTATAAAAACCATTCTCAACAATATTAAAATGATCCAAGGATTAAGCACGTCTCTAAATCCGGAAAGACTTTTCACTAAATGGTGGTTATACTTTAACGTGTAATCGCTTACGTGTAACACATAGAAATGAATTACTTTCTTATTAAAACTTCGTTAAGTGACTATTGTGAATGCACAAAAATTGACACACATTTTGTTTCCGGCACAACTTCATTTCTTAGCTTAGACTGATTTCAAAAGTTTGCACTTTTTTAACGATGGAAGGAAATAAAGTTGTTAACTTTGGAACCGAAAAAGTTACAAATGAATTTTTGAAGTTAGGTGATACCAACTGGATTAATGCCATGCGCAATGCTATATTAGGTAATCCTGACTTGTTCAAAAATAAGTTGGTACTTAACTTGAACTGTGGTCTTGGCCTTTTCGCTATCTACGCTGTGCAGGCGGGTGCATCCCATGTTTATGCTGTTGACAGTGGAGGCGTTCAGGTTTATACCCGTCGTATTATTAAAGAAAACAAATGTGACGAACGTGTTACTGTCATCGAAGGTGATGTGGAACAAATGGAGTTGCCTGTAGAAATGGTCGACGTAATCTTATGCGATTGGGTGGGAAACGCATTATTGTATGGTGCCAACGCAAAGCAAGTGATTTATGCACGTAACAAGTGGTTACAGAGTAATGGATTAATATTTCCAGATATTGCACGTATTTTTGTACGTCTAGCGTCAGATTTTAAAACTGTTGAAAATGGGGGCAGTGTGATTGGTAGTGATCTTGGATGTTCAATGAATTCAATGTTTCAGGATTCAATTGATACTGTCTGGTACTATGCAATGCCAAAAGAAAAGGTAACATTTGTAATATAATAATGACAGTTCCATTGGATAATTAAAAATTTTAGATCCGTAGTACAGGAGCACTGATTAAAGCAATAGATTTGAATACTGCTGAAGTTCAAGATCTTGCTTTTCACACAAGTTTGATTATGGAAACATACTCAAACTGCAATATTAACTCCATTGTGCTTTCTTACATGGTGATGTGTAGTAAAGCTGCATTTTACTATAATACCGATCCTGTCAATATATATGGACAATTCCTGCAATCTGTTTCATTTTTCAAAAGATCAAATTCTGTAGCAGCTGGATTATCTGTTCATGCTGAAATAGCAATGACAGATGTTGAAAACAGTGATTATAATACTCGATTGCCAAAATTGAGGTGTCAATTACTTGATATTAATTCGCATGGAATACAAGCACTAAACGGAGGTTCCTGGTGTGTGGGACCTTATGCAAGAAAAGAAAAATCGAAATATTTCGACAATAACTTTTACATTGACTTGCTTTGGCCACAATTTGTTCGATTTGATGCTGTGCGTATAGCACAAGAATTAAAATTAAAGAATGATCGGGCACTTGATTCTATGCGAAATGTAACTGGTTCCTCTAATGGTCAGATTTCATCATCTGTAGAAGATTTGGAGGTTATGACAGACTGAAATAAAATGGATCAGATTTGATATCAAATAAAAAATTTGCTGAAACAATTTATTTAAATTAATAAATATAATAAAATACTGCTTTGCAAATATTATTAATAAATAATTAATAACTAGTTTTAATAATTAATTATTTCAAGCAGAATTAGGTTTTAAATTGGTTATTGAATATTTTGAGGACTATGACATACAAAAAAAAATGTTTAAATTTAACAATAAATTTTCCAAGTTTATTGTCCATTTCAAGTACTGTAGGTTAGTATTTTTGTTCTTGGAATCACTCACTTTTTTGTCTGTAATAAGTGTTTTTAGTTGTGGTTCTGTTAACTAGTACTTTTGTAATATTTTATCCAATTATTATGATATTAGTTACCACTTTTTTCCGTTTTCGATACTGTGAGTTGGTACTTTTATTTATTTATTTTTTGACGCTGTTTGAAATATTTATTTTGATTACATATCGTTTGTTTTTGATGCTGTTGGGTGGCACAGTGATTTTAGTTTTTTTAAAAATATATAAATACATTTAATATATATTGAGATAACTTCATCATTTAATGTTAATGCAGGCGAAATGAAGAGGCTTACTTTATAATTGAAATGAATTCACTTTGGTAATTAATATATAGATATATAATGTTATAGTTTAAATTATTAAATTAATTAATTAAGTAAATGAGGATTTTTCATTTTGTATTTCTGCTTCATTTATATATATATAGCGAATATTTAAATTGATTGTATCGCAAAATATCTTAAAAGTGTTCATCATAAGCGTAGTTTGATGAAGAGTAAATACTTTCCCTCGAGTTCATTCGAACTTTCTTCGAGTCTTATTATTTTTGAAGCTTAATTTATTTGTGTACTTAGTTTTTTACGTTGGGTAAGTTAAACTCATTTATATAGTTTTATTGGTTTAGACATGTAGACCTTCAAAAACTTCTACACTGTTTACTTCTTATATGCTTTGCCTTCCACTGTCACCAACGTTTATTTATAAATTCCAATGAATCACCAACGTGATTCATAAATGACAATAACAAATTTAATTTAGAATAAACTTATTAAAATAAAATTGACACAAGTTAAAAATATTATTTACAAATAATTAAGTACAAGAAATATTTCCAAAAAAAGACAATTTTTGATAAGTATTTGACAATACTCGAAAAACTGTATGGTCAACCAAAAATTCAATAAAAAATAAAATTTTGTTGTTGTAATTTACTACTGTTCAAAATACTTCCATACTCAGTTTATTAATACGACTAATTAAAGGTTAAGTTTAGTATAAGTCATATTAAGGAGTGTGATATCAATATATAGTCCATACTGATTACCATTAATACTTATTTTCAACTGACTTAGGATACAAAAAAGATAATTTTGTTAACATTTTATTATTATTGAATGATTTTATATGATTTTACATTATACTTTTTATATATAAAAATGCTCCATGATTTCTTTAAATTTTCGTATGTAAATTTGAATGAAAATGTATGTGTGTAAATTCTGTAAGCGAAATTACACACTTGACAAATTTAATGGACGCATAAATAAGGCTTTGTTCTATGCATTTCCTTGCTTGTCATTTGCATAATTTTAACCCATTACACGCTTTACAATTGCTAAACGCCAAATACTCATCTGCGCATAAATAATCCATTTTACAAGTTAATGTTCCGCTGTTCCTCCTCAACTTCACACGACGAATGCTGTAAATCGTACTGGAATGCATAATGGAAATTGCAATTTCATAGCACATTCAGCATGCAACTAACGTGAATAGTTCGCTACTCATGGCTCTTAAACATGTGAGTGCAATGATGTTAAAGAGATTTACATTTATAATCACAATATGGGCTAAGACCAACATAAATTAAGACCCCGCACAGGCACAAGTCGAGAAACAACAATCACAATAACAACAGCATCAACTGACTAACATACGAGTATTCGGTTACTACACACATTATTAGGTCAAGAAGCTTATAATGTTAAGTGGCACATATATAGAGACAATTTCTTCTGCTTCAAATAGACATATGTGAATATCTACATGAATTATTGCTGTGTGGGTTAAGGAGGTAGAAGTTGGTCATAATTTACATACTACATATATAGTAAAACATATAGTGGCATATCCTTCGACTTCTAAATTTAACATCTAATAGGTGTCGTAGACCAAATTAATATTAGTAAATGCAGATAAATTAAACACTCTTAATATAGAGAAAAAGCCTACCATAAGATGATAGTAATTTTAGTATTTCTTGTTATTTCAACCAAAAGCTAAAAGTACCATAATTAAAACTTGTAAGTAGAGTAGACAATGCTGGGCACCATAGACACATATTCAATCAAGTCTTTGTGAACAGAATTTATTTTCACCTCTAATAGGTGTTTTTTATAGTACTTCAAAAAACTATAAAAAATATTCCAGTATTATGATATATTTATATTGTCAGGTAGCTATAAATTTTATTCAATCGTAAACCACTAAAAAACTACAAAAACCTCATATCTTATTTGTCTAAAGTAAACAAATTAAGACTTATCTAGATTCCTTGACACAAAAGATTCAAAACTAATAAAATAGTAAAACACCCCTTGCATAGCTGGGTGCCTTCATCCGTGAAGACTTTGATAGGTTATATCCCTTTGTTAGCAGGGATTAGTGTTCAAAAACATTCGAAATAAATTCAAAGATTGTTTTATAGTAATTTTAAAAACAATATTTAACATACTTAACATGCATATATTTCTCGTTTTAAATAGATCTAAACTCAGACTAATTCCTAGCTTTTTTACGGTGGTTAATAGACGTTAAATCTTACAGTGTTTGTATAATTACCAATTTTATTTGATTTTGTTTTGCGATTAGCTGGAAATATCCGAATAAAAACCGAATTAGATCTGGAGCTTGGTGCCAAAAGACATTATAAGATTTATTTGTTATCTTAATTTCTTTTGGATTTAGCTTACAATATTTTTTTCAGAGATAGTCAATAGAACTTATAAATAGTGGTATTCTACTTTCATTTCTAATAATAGTAAAAAAAATTGATCTATCTTTGTGAAGGTTAGAAAGGGAAGGGACATTAAGCAAAGTAAGGGGTATTATAAACAATCAGCTGCTTTTAGAGAAGAGATAAGGATTATTTAAAATACAATGTAAAAGGTTAGTTATGCATGCCATGAAATTGTTAAATAAATACCCGGCACTTTTTGGAACTGATGTTAAACTGTGATCAAAATTTTCAAAGAAATATTTTGTCATAAGGAAGATGTATAAGAAATGATTTAAGTTTCTTAGATTTATCCAGTAATATAAATTGTTTTTTTTTTTCGTTAATATAATTACTTTACCTAACTTATTTTTTAATTAATTAAAATAATTTCAATGTAATGTGTTTGAAAGATAACTCAAATAGATAAAGACAATGTTATAGAGAATATATCAATATGAGCTATATTTTAAGCTATATAATAAAGGAAATAAGGAATCTTAAGCAAAGTAGTAAATGGATTCCAATTATTAAAATGTCATTAGAATATTTAACTGTGGTCATAACTTAACCAACTCTGTTTTTCAAAAAGTTGATTACATCAATAATTTGTATTATATTATTCTGATATTAATAATTGTACTAGCGTAAAAATATTAGTTTAAATATTTTCATGAAATATATTATTTTTTGCTAAGCGAAATTCAAAAATTTCAAATAATTCCATAATGCAAATGAACTACAAACTTCTAATCCTATTTGTCAAGCAGCATCAACTAATTTATCAAGAGCCTTCTGCATCCGCCGCAAAACAATTCTGCATAATCCATTCTGCATAAAATATTCCGTATGTTGAGCTCCACCACAGGGCATTTGAATACCCGTTCATTTGGACAACCAAGTAATTTATTGTTGTTTTTGTTGTTTTTGTTGTTATTATTGGCATTGTTATAGTTCCTAAATCGATTTACAAACTTACTTACGGAATTATTATTCAAATTTTATTATCTTCGGGCTAAATTATTGTGATTTGATGGAAATGAAATAATTTGTGTTATTGGCAATTAAAAGGTGTCATGAAGGACATGTTCTCTGAATTTATTGGCTTGTCGCATTATGAAAAAGAAGGAGTGGAAATACTCCAAAATAGAAAATACACTAAAAGGAAAAGCTTAGAAATTTAAAATATCTTTCAAATAATTTCTTATACATTTTAATAACAGCAAATTTAAGAGGATTGAATTATAATACTTTTATTATTAAATTTTAATTTATAATTTAAGTCCTAGTTACTGTTGTTCTACTCTTCACTGTATCACATAATAGTTGTTCTGTTCTGTGTTCTGAGAAGTGGTCAAACCTTATTTGATACAAGTAATATATGTATGTTTATATTTAAAAATATACTTTAATATATTGAATATTAAAATGATAATCTGTACGAAAGTATTCTCAATTATAAACAAATTTCATTTTGATTTCATGAAAAGAGAATACTAGATAAAGTAAATGGACAATTCCTCATTTAATATATAAAAATAAAATTATGTTTTAGTTGCAAATCAAAATGAATATTTAAGTTGTCTCCACATTATATTTACTGAGAACTATATATTCTTTTTACATTAATATTATACAAAATGCAATATGATACGTAATGTGTTTTCATTTAGAATTGTGCTTTCTATTGTAGATATTTAGGTACAAAGTTTGTTATAATATTTCTCTACAAGATAATAGAAATATACATAAAACGTTTGTAGATAGAAAAAAAATTAAATGGTTTTTAAGCCTATAGTGTGGTATACTAGAAAAAATATGAATATGTACTAAATTAGATTATCACATAATTTTTTTATAATAATAGATTACATATTATTTTACTTATATTTATTTATTTATATATTATATTTTACTTATATATATTATATATATTATTTTTGCTATAATAAGTTAATTTAATATTTATATTGTATTGAGTTTATAAGTAATAATATTTATTTAATATTTATAAAAACTAGTTATTACAT